AACAATGTAAAACAAATGACAAATACATAAACAACGTAAACATGTACACTAACATAAGCCTGTATAATCAAATATGAATTCAAAAGATATAAAATTAGATGCTTGTTTTAAAATATTGTAGTAATAGGCTTATGCATTTTATTACTTAGACCCGCATATAATGCGGAGAAAATTAATAATATAGGCTATTATTTAGACCTATTATTTACCGTATATGCTTGTTCTATTGAAATATAAATTCTATAAATATATATATATATATATTAACATCTGTGTGTGTGTATATATATTATTACATTGCCCCATATACTCAGATTCCCTTCTTTAACGATCAAGATTTATAAATAATTATTTATATTCAATTTAATTTAATTTATATAGGCCTATTATATAATTAACTCTTGCTGGTCGCGTTAGAATGTCACGCACGCGTGCCATTATGACGTAACACATGTAACAGACTTGACTTAAAAGCTAAGGATAGATTCAAGCCATTATTACGTTATGAACCGGAGGGACAGGTGATTACAATTATGCCAGTGCTATATTACGGAAGTATATATGGTTATATAAAAAAAGACGTCACACGAAGCCATCCAGAAAATTACTGCGGAAACACTTATACATACAAAAAACGTAGGGAAGATTAATTGGTCGCCTTAACTATATGTTTTTAAATTAATAGTATTCTATTTTCGTAGGTGATTGCATTTGAGTACGGTACTACGTTGCAGCTATATTCGTTTTTTTTGCATGAATTTGCAGACTAACTATTTGCTCTCTAGTAGGCAGCCAATCAACAACATCAGCAAATTATTTTAGAATATTCCAAAAAATACATAATTGCAATATAATACACTTCTCTAATACTTTTGCACTTCCATGAAATCTGGTTATTTCATTGAACCAACAACAACAGTTTTAAAGATGTTTTTGTTCCGACCAATTTAATAACCAGGTCTCACACTGTAACGTACTCGTTTGGGGGGGGGGGGGGGGGTTGGGGGGGCTTGAGGGGAGTACATTTACTTTGGTCAGTGAGAAAAACCCATGCCGTCACAGGAATTGAATCCACCAAGCTTTTCAACTCAAATCTACGCCAACAATACCAAGGTTAATGCTCTAAAGCCTCCAGGGACCTATAGCCACTTTTCATCCTATTTCGACTAAAGCATTGATAGCTATATAATCTCTACAACGTTGATGCATGGTTGATGTATGGCACGGTCGGAGATGGATTACCATATTATATAGCTGCTAAGCCTACAACAGTCGATAAAGCTTAGTCATTATTAGAAACGCATGACGTCCCAGAACCTGTTGAGTGAGAAAGTTGATGGACGGATTGGGGAGCTTCACTAGCCCAGCGATTCAAAAGACAAAACTGTCGGCTGGCATCGAAAAAAAACTTTGAAATGTGAAAAGTGCCGAGTAATTGAATATCTTATCTAAGATAGAATCAGCTGCTACTGTTGATATTATTTTTAATGAAGCTTTCGTGCTCTGATTGCTATGAAACGTAGGAGACATATTCATGACAAAGTATAAATCTATTATTTACTCTAAATTACGCTTTAAGTCAGTGACACACACACACAGTGGGTCGCCCATACTATAAATATCAATAAAGAAATCAATGACAAATTAACAAGTATCGTTATGAAGGCGTATGTATATGTAAATGATTGTAGTAGCTGAGTCCTCGCCTCGACGTTTGTATAAAGCGCTATTAATCTAACTGCACTTTACATTATTATTTTCCACGACGAAATTGGCGAATTTACTGTTTTGTCCCAAGAAACGGAACGCCTTGGGGTATGCGCTTTTCCCTAATAATAATGATAATAATAATAATAATAATAATAATAATAATAATAATAATAATAATAATAATTATTATTATTTATTTGGACTTGCACTGTTACATCAGTGGCACACTTTGAAATAAAAACAAAGGTGCGTCCAAAACACAAAACTTAATAATAATAATAATAATAATAATAATAATAATAATAATAATAAATAATAATAATAATAATAATAACAATAATAATAATAATAATAGCAATAATAATAGTAATAATAATAATAATAGTAATAATAATAATAATAATAATAATAATAATAAATAATAATAAATAATATTATTAATAATAATAATAATAATAATAATAATAATAATAATAATAATTATTATTATTATTATTATTATTTATTTGTACTTGCACTGTTACATCAGTGGCACACTTTGAAAAAAACAAAAAAACAAAGGTGCGTCCAAAACACAAAACTTAAAGACAAATGATTACAAGTAATCAAATTATATGTACAACTAAAACTTAAAAACCAAATCACATGAAAAAAAAAAAACCCCAAAAATGTGATGCAAGCTGAGGCATTGTCATTTAATATTTATCACCGTAGCTCATCTTCATTCTTGAAGATGAACTAATAAATTTCGAAATACTGAATCACAATGACTTGTACTATTTTTTTAGTTCTATGATATCATATGTCAAACTTATTCGTAAACCTAAATGGTAGTCATTAATACACTAAATAAAGAACCCGATACATCTTTCAAGACGAGTAGGGGGTTACCCCGGTGTACTGGTTCATACAGCCCCTGTTGTGGACAGACGGGAGAGCTGGTACCGGTTTATAAACCGAACCACATTACATTACATTCAATCGCGAGGAAGTTTCCAATTGTTCGTAAGTCTATTATGTTCCCGCTGCCTTCATATCAAAAGTTCATGTAAGAACTGTTCGTCTCATATTATCCTTATTTTGTTTCGTTTTTAGGCCATCACCTTGTTTTGTAACCATATGCTGTTAATCGTTTAACCTCCTCGAAAAACTTTTACTTTCGACTTCAAACGACAACAATTAAAGAATAATTGGATCATGTTGCAACCAAGTAAAATCGAAACTATCAGAGGCTCGAGTGCCCGCCTCAAATACTTCAAGCCCAGAACAACGTCAGAAGCAAAAGAGCAGAGACACGATAGACACAAAAACGGATTTCTATTTTTGGCGTCAAACGAGACAACCAATAAAATTTGCAATAAAAAAAAATTGATTTATTTTTTCCCCCATCGAAATGAGCCGAGTGTTAAGAAACAATTTAAATCTGCCCTTGGTGCCTCTCTCATGACCCTCTCTATAGTGGTAACAACATTCCCAAATTAGGAAGTACCAATAACTAATAAGTTACATATTATGCTCCAACTTCATTGAGGACTGGTTTTACCTCAGAAATCAAGTGTTTCTGAAGGTGAGAGCACATCTGAATATTCTTTCACTGCAGTATGATTTGAATTTGATTCCAACCAGAGTGAGTGAATATAACATTGAAGTAGATTTGTAAATCGTTATTATACTGTAATTTTGTTTTATTTAATTTTTAATTTTTTTTTTATTGAAAGCAGTTAGCACCGTGGAAGACGGGTAAATCTTGTCAGGGAATAACAAATAAAAGAAAATTACATGTTCGTTTAGCCACCATATTGTTTTCATTGAACTATTTATGTTAACTGTTCATCACAATAATAATAATAATAATAATAATAATAATAATAATAATAATAATAATAATAATAATTCAATGAGACTAATTAAAAATGATTTGCGTTCTGTTATGACAAATGCTCGTTTGGAAAGCCTCATGATGCTTGGAATACATCGTGATAGGGGAAGAAACCTCGACCTTGACAGCGTGGTTGACAGATTTCATGCAAAATTTCCAAAATGTAGAATTTCACTTTGAAGAATGAGGATTTGAAAATGCATCAGATGGTTACATTGCATACTTTGTTTTTTGTTTTGTTTTTCGACATTTGAAAACATACATGAACTCATATATAGTAGCTCGATGCCTATCAAATAAGTAATAAACTCCCCCCTCCCCCTCGTCGGCGCCTTTAGCCCCTCCGTCGGGCAGATCATGGAGCCATCACTGGCTGTTGCTAGGCAGACTAGTGTGTAGATGTAGGGGATCCCAACATTCAGTCTGATCCAGAAAACAAGAAAAGGGGGTGGGGGTGGGTTAGGCATTCCGACCAGTGCTCAGAACTACGCCAGGTTCCGATTTTAGTACTTAAGTAGGCCCCTGGCCTATATACCTTAAAAAGTGTCGACGGTATTAAAACAGGAAATACTACACTGTTAGGGAATATGGAGTTGTTAAACCACATTGGAGCATAGCCAAGATCTTGTATACCTTGGTCATAGCACCATATCATCCACGTAAACTTATTTCAGCATGTTACCGCTGAGCAATCTAGAGTAAATTTACAAGAAATGATTATCTTAATTTAACAATTTATAAAGAACGATTGTTTATTTTTCAAAATTTTTATTTTGTTTATAGGGCCTATATTTATTTGTTTATTTATTTAGAATGAGTATTTATTTATTTGAACCATATTTAGTTAGGCAAAAGCTGACCATTTGGAACTTTCAACTAATTTATGATACTGTAACTTAATATAATATTAAGTTGTGATTAAGCATTTCACACAAATAAAGAAATAATTATCTTTTATAAACTATTTTTATTATTATTATTATTATTATTATAATTCTCATTATTATTATTATTATTATTATTATTATTATTATTATAATTCTCATTATTATTATTATTATTATTATTATTAGGTAATCTACTCTTACCAAAGAATAGAACTGAATCTGGTAGAAGATTATCATTTAGGGCGCTATGTGTATAAGAGACAGCTAAAGCCTCCAGGGACCTATAGCCACTTTTCATCCTATTTCGACTAAAGCATTGATAGCTATATAATCTCTACAACGTTGATGCATCCGTAACTTTTAATGGTAAAAAACACAAACGTTTTCGGGCATCGCCCTTCATCAGGTGGACCACCTGATGAAGGGCGATGCCGGGCTGTCAATCAAACTTCCAAGTAACCAATCAGAACAAGTCATATACGCGCTGTTTACAAACACGTTTTCCACACAAACACACACGAGTTACAAGTTTGTGCAGTGTGCGAGAAGCGACGTCGATGATATGACTATGCAGTAGGAAACCTTTACCATGAAGCCAAAAAAAGAGAAAAAAAAAAATTGCCTAGGCCTACTGTCAGTGGAATATGGCTTGTGGAAGACGGCATGTCCTATATTTCAACAGGGTAAACAAGCATACAGCTCAACGGTAGGATTTCATTTATTTAAGTTAAGCCTACAAAAATAATCGGGTCGCGTCGGAGTTCGCCTAGCCATAGGCCTATTCCGATGTCGATCTTCTCCAATGCCTAGGCCTACATTTTAAGATATTCGACCACAGCAGCTGCATTCCGCGATGGATCGCGCCTGATCTCAGGGCCTGGTATTAATTTTTCTAATAAATTGTGATCTATAAATAGATTGAGGAAAATATTTAACAGTAAATGACAATGCAGGCCTTACCTAGGCAGCTTAGATTAGGCCAATGTAGGCCCTAAAATGTATTTAAATCCTTAGCCTAGCTGCCTCTAATATGCATGAGATTTTTGTGTTTCGTACAAATCATTAATAAATACAATATATACTTTTTTCATAGCATTTTGTTATTGGAAACTATTGAATATCCTGACCCAGTAAATGCAGATGGAACAGTACCAACTGTGTGTAGACGTCCCCTACCAGAAATAGAGAAACCAAAACAAAATATCACAGAATGTAAGTTAGGATAGTCATGAGTAGATTTTTCATATGATTGAAAAACGGTAACTGTAGGCCTACAGGATTTGGTATACAGGAGTTGGTGCTGAAGTTTGTTACCACTTGTATTGTAAACTTCAATATTATTCAGAAAAGTAAATGAAGAGAATAATGTTGGCAGCATGTGCAATATAAAAAAAAAAAAACAATTGTAAAAATAAAGTATAACAATTTTAATAGATGCATAACATTGAGAACATTATTACAACTATTACTAAATTAATTATATAGCAATATATTTGAAATATAATATTATATTACTTGTTTATCAATCTTTTATTTATAATGCTGTATGTATTATTAAAAGGTTGCTGATACATTAAAGGTAAATAAATCCTTTTATCCTCTGTTTGGAAAAACCTTTTCACAAGATATGAAATATTTTTGATGCTATGGCCTTTCCAAATAGGCGCAAACAATTTTTTTGATGGGGCCCTGTCAATCTGGAGGAGCCCATTATTAGGGAACCCATGACATTATTGAGGGCCCATGATAGTAATTATTTTTGAAAAATATATGGGGAAAAAATGCTACCTGCAATTTTTATGGGCCCTGGTAAACTAGGGCCCTGGGGATCTTTTCCTCCTCTCTTGGTGGCCCTGTGTAGATTCAAGCTATTTGTGTTGAATTTAAATAAAAGATGTATGTTAGATGTATGAAGTTGCAAATTAAATCTGATCATTATGTTTCAATTACAGTATAAAGAAGCTTCTGTGTGTGGATTTTTTTTGTGTCATTATTTAATTTGTTTTAATATTATTATCTTTACTGAACATATTTATATACAAAGCCATGTTGATTGGTGGATGGATTGGGTTAGTTAGTCCCTTTATATTTTAGTCTCAGATCAATGTAGAGTAAATATGGCAGTACAGTAGATAACTTTAGAAAAGAAATAATACTGTACACTACATGAAATGCACTGGTTTAATGCCTTTATGTTTTGATTGTAATTCTGCTACATAACGTTTGTCAACCACCGCGTGCTGAATGGTACAACAATGTTACAATTTTAATGCTGCATACGCAGTTTACAAAAAAAAAATGTTATGCTGAAATCTCGATTATTTTAATTTTCATATGGCCTGGATGGTATAAGAATTAGTCAAAATATCATTGACAGATTTAGATAGCCTCCTGACTAGGCCGGTGACGGTATCACTATCTGCTGTAGGCCTCCCTAGGATACGCCTCCCTAGGCCTATTTGTACTCGAACCTGGGAGGGAGAAGCCAGATTGTGGACTTCAAGAACGGGAAGGCGTGAAATCCATGTTGAACCAGGTATTGCCTAAAATAATTAATGTAAATGTAGTTTCCTAATTTTTAAGTCGAAACCTTCCTGTGACCTTACCCCGATTTGCAAGAACAAGAAGAATCGATGAGATTTTATGCTGAAAATCTCGATGTGAAACCATGGAGATGAATAAGACTTCCGCATCAATCGCCAGTAATTTCCATCAACTTTTAGTGACATTATTTTAATTATATGAATGTATACTTGCAAATAGTAATTTAGACCTCTTTTTAAGACACTTTCTGTTACATTTTTATGATTCGGCAGAAACGTAAAACAGATATTGTTCGGAATACCTAACAACCACTCTGTGCCCGCGACCGCACTGCCATCCATGTTTTCTTCTACAAAATGATGTTGTTTGTGGGACCTTAGCAACAATATCCAAGTGGCGGGGCTTAGCGGAAAGGCGTCCTAAGTACCTGATTTATACACAATAAAGTAGTACAAAGTTCATCATTAAGTTAACTTGTTTTATATAGCACAGGATACTGGATATTGTTTATCACTACATTGTAAATAGTATTTTAAGTTATTAATGGTATCATCATAACATAATGATATGGTTTAAGACATTCTGCGGATGTAGATATCTATGTTGTTTGTATGTGACACGGACTTAGCGTCCCTTCTTAGGACGATTCTTTCCTTTTCTAATTGGCAAGAACAAAGACAAGACGTACCGAAAAATAGCAGCCGTGTCCATTTGAAAATCTACTGTAGCTACCGTTTTTCGGGGGAAGGAGCTATAGCAGACAAAGAATTATGATACATGATTATTATATGGTTCCTTGTGAAGCACTGTAATCCAAGGTGGGATAAAGAGTTCTTGTACTTAAACTTATTATGTATTATCTTACTTTATTTAGCTATGTTATTCATAATGATTCTTTACTTTTTATATTGTTTGTGAATTAAAATAATAATATGCTTCCAGCCTGAATCACAGGACTGATGTTGTTTATAGAGCATGTCTTAAACATGTATTATGGTCATAATGTTAGATTGCCGGGTTTTTAGCACTGAGCTGTAAACAAGCAATAGACAGGATAATTATTTCCTGCTCTGGTAATGTGAATGCACGCGCAAATAGTTGTGCATTGGTTAAAGAATAGAGTATGCATTTATTTATGATAAAAACCTAAGGTTTCCCATAAAGAAAGATGCAATAACTAATACTATAAGGCCAGTTAAGTTTGTACCTCGCAGTTAATTGGTTATATTGGTATATAGGCTAATGGCTTTTATTATTCTTTTTAGCTTGGCATATTGTGCATACAGTGCCTGGCCAAGCTGGGGGTTTTGTTTTAATTAACAAGTAATTGTCAGTTTCTGGATTATGGTTTTTTGGCGTTTTCGAACAAATAAACGACAACAGAGAAGTTACATCGTCTCCTGTCTATGTTGTTCTACCTGTGTTACATATATATATACATATATATATATATATATATATACATATATATTCATATATATATATATATATATATATATATATTTTTACACAAAATTAAGTAACTTAACTAATTTTATATACAGTAATGAAGTTAAACCTTTATATCGTCGCTCACAAAAGCACGTCAAAGTACGCGCAGTTGTTGTTACGGACTTTTTGTGTGGTAAAGAATACAAAATTGCTTGACAACCAATACGCGCTCGTTTTGACGCGCTACTGTGATTTCACGAACTAACACAATCTACTTTGATTGTGTTAGTTCGTGATGTGAGCGACGATATATTTGGGTTTTTTTTGTTTTTTGTTTTTTTTATTGGTATTTTCAGATGTTTTTTTAACTTTTTATTGTTAGGACATTATCTGTATTTTTCCATATTTTATCTGCGTTGTATACTGAGCACACTAAGAGAACAGTCTATTTGACTGAAGAGTTTAAATAAATAAATGTTTATTATTATTGTTATTATTGTTATTATTTTATTATTATTATTGTTATTATTATTATTGTTTATTATTGTTATTATCATTATTAAGTTGATCATTTGAGAACTTCAACGAAAAACTTATTAAACGTAAGTTGTGATGAAGCATTTTACACAACTACCTAATTAAACATCATCTGAGTTTTGGACAGCATATCGTTACTGCATCCTATAATAAAACTAAAATAAATAAATAAATACTGTAATCATGGAGTCGTTAAAATGACTAGTGCCGTACTAAAATATCGTGATTTAGAAACCAATCAATAAACACAAATCACCTC